GCTTGTACTACTGCAACGGGTCGCAGAATTTAGGACTTGCTGAGACTGCATCACATGCGCAGGCCCTCAATAAGGCTTAAGTATATGATAAAATTTATTTATTCAGAACTCGGATAACCCTTAAGCATGTGCAAGAAATAGACATAAGTATAATAAGTAACTAATACAATTCAGGCTTTATTGTCTCAGTGTGCGATAGAAGCAAGATAAAATTCAACGGAACATTTTATCATTAGTCGCCAAGCTCATGATGCATATATAAACTCAAATATGTACAGTGAACGATAGCTAAATTTGATGATATTTTAAAGGTTTTTGGATATTGCAAAACAAAGGTGAAATTTTCCAATTAACGGATTTTGTAAAGAAATGTAGAGAAGCGGTAATAAATGAAGATGATATAAAAGAAGTTTTTCATTGTGATGACAATGCTGTCAATCATCATCAATTAATGAATGGAGAATCTGTAGTTGGTTCTAGATCCAGAAAAATACTGCTACGGATAGTGAAGAAAAGTTAAGAAAGTACTGAAAATTAAAAAAATTCGATTGACAAGTTAGTCGGAATCTCGAACAGCAGTTACAGGACTTAACAATGTAACCCAAGAGATTATGTCTGTCTACAGAATTAAAGAGAAAGTATTACACAAAAAACGAAACAACTTAAACAACTCAATTGAAAGAAATGGTAATAAGTAAACAAATAATATTATGCTTTTTTTTTTACCCTTTAGATCATAATTTTACATTTATCGCTCCAAAATGTCGCCAAGAAGGACTGATACTAAAGCTGTGCCATCTTACTAGATTTAAATTGATGATCTAATATCAGGAAAAATCTCAAATCCCAAATCGAATCACTGACGTTCCTGATAGGAATGGAGACAAATAAATAAGCAAAGATTCATCTGGATTATCATATATTGAAATACAAAATCATTATAGGCACGGTAAATGTTACATGGTAAGCATAGTAAAGTTAACAAGTGACAACAACTGAAAACCTTCCCAAAAACAAGAAATAAAAATCGTGTTGCCACATATGTTGCAAAATACAAATGGGAAATATAATCACAAATTAAAAGTTATTTGCAGCACTCCTCCTTGATTAAATTTCCCTCAGTCCTACACTGAACCTTTGATTGAACAAGGCTTTCTTTTGCACACTCTTTGTCAATATTGTCTGCTGCATCTTGAACTTAGAAACGGCACATAGGTAAAGTTCAACAACATTCTTCTTCAACCTTCTTCTTATCAAGAAAAAATGCTGCCTGAAGTTCAATATGTTTGTTACGCTCTGAAGTGACATAGATTTTCAGCTAAAGAAATGGCACGCCTGATTAATCAACAAATAAGTTTTGTGGAAAGTTTAAAAAATTTTCTCCCACGATTTTCTTAAAAAAATTTTGGAACCACAGTACTTCTTTGGCTGCCTGGCACATTGAGAGCTTCAGCTTCACTGTTGACAATGCACTCCTCTGTTGTTTCTTACTGCTCCATGAGACAGTTCCCCCTCTAGTAATACCACATAGCCACCAAATGATATCTATCAATTATCACCAGCCCAAATAATCATGAACGCTTCCAAATCCTTTTCAGTCTTTGGAAAGTCAGCTTTAATTCCTTGGTCTGTTTAGAACGAAGGATATATTTGTTGTATGCCAGCCAATGTTCCTGCTGGGAATTTTGAATTGGTCATGTAGTAGTAGCAAAGCTAATCGGCCTGTTCTCCTGCCAGGTACAGAGCCCTCCAACGCCGCCTATATTTTAATGCTCCTTCAGCATTCAACATGTATCTTATGGCGTTCATATTTCACTGGGTCTAATGGTGTTGATGCTCCTTTAGCATCTTGCATATTAGTTGTGTTCAAACGCTCACTGGCATAGACACTTTGGCATACAGCCATCTTCCTTTCTGCTTGAAAGATCCTGGATTGAAAGAAGGTGATGTATTTCTCCCAAGTCCTTGATTTTAAATGTGGCTACAATATTGTCCTTAAATTCCTGAATGATGAAACCTTTGCTGCACATTACAAGGAGATCATCCACATACACACCTACGATTAACTTCTTTTCTTTATTGAAGTAAACACAAGGATCTGCTCTGGATCCTTGTTTAAGGTTCACTGATTCATTCAGAAATTTATCGAGGCAGATATTCCACTCTCTTCCCAGACTGATGAAGTCCATAAAGGCTTCTTCTTTAGCAAGGCAAACTTCTCTATGTGTTTTCTGGTGCAGACTCACTGGTGGCTGTTTCATGAGCATTGTCTCACTCAATTTTCCATTTAAATAGGATGCAGTATTATCCATTTGATGAACCTACCAGTCTTGCTCAACTGAGAATGCTAATAAAGTTCTAATTAATTTTGTTTTTATTACAGGAGAAAACATCTCTTTCTAGTCAATTCTTTTGACTTGGATGTAGCCACGAGCAACTAAACGAGCTTTATATCTTTCCACTTGTCCAAACAGTCCCGAGAAGACCGGATTTCGGACTTTGTACTGTATAATGATAATTATCTACTAAACACATTTTCTATGAAAAAGTTCTTTTGAATTTCATCACAGAATCTAAATAACATAGTTGCAGATTAGCAATTTGTCATGATGTTTATTCAAATTTCAATATTAATGTAGTATGTGATATATTGCTTTTAGTTAGTTATTTTTTGATGGCATTAAAGTTAAATTTCTAGTGCTTTTGCTTTGGGACCCATTTTTTATCAGTCATCCAGCCATATATATTATAAAATATGAAAATAAATGCAAATGATCCCATCAATTAATTTAATAACTCATTACATTTTCTGTTCCCTTAAATCTAAATAGCTTCATAAAATAAAAAATTCAGCTGCTTTAGTGTTTGAAAATGCAATACAATGGTGGGAAAAAGAAATGTTTAAAACAACAAACAACTTTAATGATGCCATCTAAAATATAAATAACTAAAAAACAGATGGCCCACTATATCATTACCCAAATTTCTCATCAATGTAATTTGATATAAAGATTCCTTCACATTTTTTTACTAAAGCTTTTCTTATAAACATAGTTCATATGTTCTGATAAAAATCAGAACTTTTTTTTAATTATACTTCAAATTTCTAGTGCATTTTAATACTCTGCATCATATAAATCACAATGAATGCAAATGCTTTAACCCTTTGATGCATGCGATATTATTTTTATAATTTTTTAAACTAAAAACTCTAGAAATTAAATATTATGATCCTAGAGACAAATAATATACGGATTTAAAAAAATCTACTCTTGCCCATTGTTCTGTGGTGGTGGTCGCACTGTGAAACCACCTCGCGTCTAGGACTTTGAACTTACCGAGGTAAGAAAAAAAAAAAACTTACCTTTCTTCGTTGCGCGTTCCAATAAATGACGAAATTTACGAATTTAAAAAACAAAATGCAGTAGAATTGCATAATATATAATATATTTTTTACATTATTTCAAAAAAATCGTCTGAAAATAAATTATGTAATTTTTTATAGCAGTGAAAGTACCTACATAATAGGACGTTTGGCTACATGGATTAAAAAACTCAGTAAAATAAGGATAAAAAAAATTCTCAGTTTTTTTTTTTTTGTATTTCAAGAACAAATATTTTTTGTGACACTGTTCAAAGCATGTTTTGTCTTTTGGTACATGATGCCCACATTGCACGTTTCCACATGTATCTTCTTTACGAGTTTCTTCCTTGTGCTACAAAATGTACACTGATTGATCTAAATTTCACTGGTATATGTCCAGTGTTATTTAGTTTCTTTTCATCTGGCACATGAAATTTGTGGTTTTTTATGTAATGAGGAGGGGGCTTTGGTCTTTTGGCTTTGATACGGATCATTCGTTTCCCATTCATACTTATTTTATTTGTATTTCGTCACAAATTCAGAATATATTTTAATTAAATAAAATTTCGCAATTTCTATTTTATTACAGCAAGGTATATTTACATTAATTTAAACCACAGAAATAATTTATAAAAAAACAATACTAGCTTGGGGAAGCAGTGTTGAGGTCAGAGAAAGTCTCTGGAAAAGAAAGACTTTTTACTGGGCAGGTGATGTATTGTTAGTAATAAAATAACTGTGATTTCACACCCCTTATTATATCAGGTAAAATAAACATTCTATTGAGAAGCAACAAACCATGTGAAGAGCATGGTTCAAGGCGGGACCACCGAGCTCTAGAGTATTGTGACACATGCTCAAGTGGTGCAGTGGTCGTGCCCTGAAAGCACAAAGCAAATGTCATACTATAGAGGTTTTTTAATAATGCAGTTTTAATATTGCTATTTTTTATTGTTTATGATAGAACTGATGTGCGATGAATAACTTTGAAATTTAAGTTTTTTATTAATAAAAGGAAGTTATTTTCTCATTGAAACAAATTTTAAAAGGCATGTTTTGAAGTACTAAGACCTAAAACAGTATGATTCTGCAGCATTTTGTGTTATTTAGAGGAAAGATCAGTAATCAATTGATTTTCACTTAAAAATTTCAGAAGGAAAGGAGAAAATTCGAAAATTGGTGGTTTCAAGGCGCGACCACCGTGCGTCAAAGGGTTAAACTGAGAACACTACTAATGCATGGTTAATGCTATCTGCAAGAACTGCTAATTAAAAAACAAATTTACTCAGAAAATTTTGAAATAAAAACCTTTGCTGAAATTTCCTCATATTCTTACAACAAATCAATTTTTGTTTTAACTTTCACTATTTGAATTTTCATTATTGTTACTCTTATTAGATAGTTTGTTTTTATATAGTCACACATTAAAATTACATTTATGCTCTTAATTAATTAGTTGACATTCTATAGCACCAGTAACACATTACAAGTTAAATAATGTTTGAAACATTAGATTTGGTAGCAACACATTACAAGTGCATAAGAATATAATGATCATACTATAAACTTGCATAACAAAAATGCATTATTACGATAGAATATCACCAAATAATCAAAAACTGAATATACTTATTACCCCTTCCAAGGTGATTTCTTTAAAGTCAATTTCTTCAACAAATGGATTGCCTGCCATGGCAACAAATATTACGCTTTCTCACATAATTCAAAACCTAAGAGGGTAATAACAACAAACAAGAAATTAACAGGCATTAAATATAAGAAAATGCAAAATTAGATGAAATTCTGAAAAATTTGGCATATAACTAGAATTGTTTTTGTAATTTTTTTCATATATGAATTACCTAGCATAGTGCATACTATTACTGTCATTTAAATTTTGATTGCTACTAATTTTTAGAACTTAGTATATTAAGTCAGTTTTTTTATTTATTCACACATTTTCCAAATTTTAATTACCTATCACTATACACATAATAGAATTTATCCATTACACTAATCAAAAATAGAACAGTATTATATTACTTCCTAACTAATAATCAAAGTTAATGATTAATAAACAGCCTCTCTGACAATTAACTATTAAAAATAATTTTTTTAGAATGGGAGAAAACTATAAAAAAGTAACTGCAGACAGCAAAGAATATGAAATTTTAAACAATCTGATTTTTCTATATGCAGTTTTCTATATTGCATATAAAACACATCAGGATATATTTGGTTGGTTTGGTTTATTAGATTACAGCAAAGCACTCGAGGGCTATCTGCCTTAAGGGAGGGATGCCTTTGTGGAGGACTTTTTAAGAGAAACTGGGCTGTATACACGTTACACATGGGGGAAACCACGAAAACACCCATGCAGCCAGCTTGTTTGTGGGATTCGAACCTCGGACCGAACTACCAATGTTCAGCGACGTTACCTCTCGGCCGCTGGTGGGCCCAGGATATATTTGATGACTAAAAGTATAATTGAATTTAAATTTTTATATATATATTTTGTATACTTTTATGTTAATATATTAATTTTAAGCATGTTTAATCTTAGATACAATAAACCCCTGCTAAACATGAGATGTTATGTCAATAACATATCCCATGTATGGCAAAGTTAACTATAGAAGAAAAAAGGTGTTAGGTTATAGTTCAGATTATTATAGTATATATAATTTCAACAAACCAAACTATTATTCTAACTGAAAGGGAAAAATCACACAAATGTTAATTGAAAGGGTTTTTATTACTGCTTAAAATAAGCACATGACAGTATTTTTTTTAATAGCTGGTGATTTTTGTTTGGAACAATGATACAACTCATTTAAAGTTTTAAAATAAGGAGTGCAAAGGTTTTCGGTGCTACTTTGGTAGACGGTTGCACGGATTTTGGCGATGTACGTTGGCACAATTGTTGGTGCAGTTTTTACAATCGGCAGCCATCTTGAAAAATGATCTTTTTACGCATAGTAAAGTATTCGAAACTTAAAAAAAACAAATATCTTAAATTAATGATTTTTTTGTTGAAAATGTCGTTTTTTTAACTGGCAGGCAATGTAAATTAACATTTACTAGAGTATAAAATACTAAAGTAAGGTTAAATTATTACTTTCATATATCAATGAAATCGAATAAAACACCGCTATAAAAACATTGTACCAACGTTTAATTTAGAAAATATTACTTTAAAAAACATTGTACCAACGTTTAATTCGATTAAAACTTAAATGAACGAGTTAAAAAATACAATTTTTAGGTTAAAGTTAAATAGTATTACGTCAAAACTTAAACTACATATAGAATATAATTAACATTAAAACATATGTGCCAAAAGTATCTCAAATTTTGAAATGTATTAATTTTTTTAACAAAATTGAAGTTATAATTATAAAATAAAAGAAAAAATATGTCTTAACTTTTTTTAATTTAACTGTTGTTATTGATAAGTACCACAAAAAATCGGAATATAATTAGATATCACCGAAAAAAATTGAAAATTAAGATATCAACAAGGCATAAATAAAAAAATATAAATAGTAAGCATTTGAGCCAAAGTATGATATACGATTTAAAAAAAAAAAAAAAAAAAAAAAAAACTCCTCCAGTAATAGGTATTGGTTTTTAAAAATTCTTAAACCCCCCCCCCCCGAAAATCATAATACTAAAATTTTATTTCAAATAAAAATGCAAAATTAATTGATTTTTTAATATTAGAAGGCATAAACAATATTTAAAAATGGAATTATGCAAATAAAATGCATTATTTAAAAATAAAATGACAACAAAGTATCGGTTACCATAAATAACTTATCCAGCAATTGGTTTACCATAAGTCGTATTACTCACCAAAAGAAAAATCGCCAAAATACGTGCAACTGTCTACCAAAGTAGCACCAAGTTTTCCATATCTTTCATAAAGTGTCCTCTTTTTTCCTCATTTCGATCAAACTTCATTACAAAATCAGACTATTCGTGTCTTGTTTAACAATTAGTTTAACTTTTTACATGCTAAAGGCTCTTTATCTTCTTCACTATCACAGCTTTCACCATCTGCTGGTGTTATATGATCATCTAATTTTTCATTTGCCATTTTACGAGCATCATTCTCAACTAATCCTTTGATTTCTCCTTCTGAAAATCATATGTTACCTATTGCTTTTAGAAATTTGTACAATTTCCTCGGCTTCAATTTAAATTGATGGAATTCTTTAAAACTCTTAACAACTTCTGGCCATAGTTGATGCCAGCAAGCATTCACTGTTGATGAATTCACTTCCGCCCATGCGAGTCTAATCATTTCTATGCAGTGTCTTATATTAAATTGCTTCCAAAATGACCTTAGTGTGCTGTCCTTACCTTCATCTAGTGCTTTATTTGTAAAGATGTAAACAATAAAAATGTTTAATAGTTTAATGATTCCTTGATCTACTGGTTAGATAAGGAAGTGGTATTCGGTGGAAAGAACACCTTTATACATCTTTAAAGTGGATACAATGCTATGAGGGCTTCAGTTGTGCCTTGGAGCATTATTCAGAACTGGAGAATTTTAAAGTTCAGATTTTGATGTTCTAAATAATGTTTGACTTCTTTAATGAATGAATTTTCAAATCAGTAATTAGAGGGCTATTGCAACATAGCCGATGCTGTACAGAATACCATGTATAATTGAAGTTCTCGCACTAAACACATTAAATGGAGACAATTATGAAAGTGAGTATGCATAAAATCATGTTCTGCAAGTCCACATTTGGTAAGGAATTACTATATCTCTGAATTCTGGTGCAAATAAATTATAATCAGTAACAGGTTTGTTTATTTGAACTATGAGAAGTAACAAATTTTCACAGGAAGTAAGCAACTTTACACTAAATCTAAGAATACAAAACAAAACTGAAAAAATAATCTTAAACTTGGAAGTGGGTACTTAAGTATTATCCCACTGACTGTGGAACTGTCACCAAGAAATGCAATTTAATTGCGATCATGGATCAGCAAGAAATCACAAAACACTCATAATAATATTTGCACTTTCATTTGATGTAGTCCGATTTATTCTCGATTAGCCATGATTTGTTTTTATGAACAAGGATATAAATTAACTGTTGTTGCTGTATTTGTCTTTGCATTAAAAAAAAAAAATGATCAAAATTTTGAACCCACCTTCTACAAAAGAGCAAGCAGTGGATCATTTTCAAAATTATGGGATCCTACTATAAAAAAATGTGCATTAGTGGACATGATATGATCAGTTGAATATGGCTGAAAAATTGGAGTGCTTAGAGTATGCTTTGAGAAAAGTCAATGTTACCTTTTGTCAACAGATGGCATTGACAGTTAGCTACACTGGATTTCTGATGTCAGAATTACGAGTTGGTTGCTACCTTTGGCAGGATTCTCGCCAAGATCAAAATGGAACTTTCTGCCAAAGACCATTGAAGCTAATGACCGGGGTAACCATAGCAGCACTGCATTTGGATTTAATTAACACAATGCCTTAAGCTATGGACACTATCTGAAATACTAGAGGTAAAAAGGTTTCAGTAGGAAGTATATAAGCTTTTTTCAAAGCAGAAAGAAAATACATTCAGTGATCATCTAAAATTATTACTGTCCCCTGTTAACGGCCGTAAAGAATTAATAAATATCGTCTGTTCATTTACTGCCTTCTGTAGATTTAGTAAATTATATTTGAAGACACTGACTCACTTTTCGGTAGGATTATAAACTCTAAGATAATAATTATTAATAATCAAAGCAACCTTTTTATCTTCCACAGAAAGCAAGTGTTATGTTGTTAATTTTTTTATTCTTGTTTTATTTACAAATTTTGATCTATTCAGCATCAGATATTATAACATTTTTATGACATAAAGAAAAAGTGACACAAGCATTAATCACTTGCGCTAAAAAGACGTGCCACACACGCCGAGATGTTTTTGTCTCAAACCGCGAGCGATGTGAACACCACGTCGATAGGCATTTATCGCAAAAATGAAAATAACGTGGTGCACACGTCGCCTAACACAAAGAGATTGTTTATTTCTCGAGTTACAGCTCTGGATTGCACTTGCAGATGCGGAGCGGCGTAAATGAGACACTTTACCACTTGTTATATTGTAGCACACAGCACTGCAACCGTGAAGTTTAGTTGTAACACAAGTGGTTAAAATAAAAATAAAGCTATTATAATCAAACTTCTTGTATGATAACTGAAAATGACCAATTTTTCTGAAACACAGATAAAACATTGGTATTCAACATCATTTCGTTTAAACAATCATCTCCACAGAAAACCAAATCCTTTGGAAATGTAGAAGATTGTATATTCTATTCTGTAAATGTCTTCAATTTAAATAATAAATCAGAGACTGAATATGGTATTTTCATCATCCTCACAATAACATAGCATATATACATATATATGTCATATCTGACTAGTGGCAAAGCTAGAACATTTGCCCCTGGGGCAGACCCTGAGTTTGTCCACCTGGGCATCTTTGAATTTCTCGATCCTCTTGATATACGAAAATAACTTTCAAAAATGTAAAAATGACATAAAGAAAAATTAATTTACTCATAAAAATGACATAGAGAAAAATAATTTTAAGCTACCTTTATTTTTGAAGAAAAATTATAATTCAATCATTTAAAAATTTTATTATTATTATTATCATCATGATTTGTTTTCTAAACTACCTTTAACACATTAGAGGCCTATTTG